ATGCCCTCCCCATGGGAAAGCCGCAGGGGGGTCAGTCCTCTCCACATACATCCGTCCTGCAGGGCCGCTCGGAGCAGCCGTCTGCACTTTCGTTTCCAGAAGGCTGAAATCGAAACTTGAGCGGTTGCCAGGGCAGTGCCAGAGCGGAGGCTTCAGGGAAGACCTGAAACACAACCCGGGCTCTGCTGTGTGGTGATTATGTCTGTGCACTTGGTGACATCGGAGCGCAGCACAAGATCCCCCGGCGTGAGCACAGGCCATGGCAGCCCCAGCCTCCTGTGGGCACCCCTTTGCTTGGGGCGCTCCCTTGGTGGTCCCTGGGCCCTCCTAAGAGCTGGAGCATGCAGAGGGGGCCCTGAGGAGCCCCAACCACAAGGTGCCCCTGGCAGCCATAGCTCTGGCATCTTCCTGAACCTGCAGGTGGCTGCGGTGCTGGCCTGTGGCCGCATCCTCATGCTGATGAAGGTCCCCGGGGTGGTGACTGGCCGGAGCAGCCCTGGGGACCCTGGGAACAGGAACCTTTTGGTGACCCAGCCCCAGCTATATGTCCCCTATCCTGCCTCCCTGCTCCGAGGGTCCTGGGATTGGTGCTGCGCAATCCCTTGGCAAAGGGCCTGGTGGGGAGAGGAGGCGGAGAGGGGCTCTGCTCGTATCTACATAACCTCAGCCTTGGGTGGCTGAGGAAGAGGCAGAGCCCCAGGACTGGGGGCCACCTTAAATTAGTGCTCCCAATGCCATCGGAATGGAGGGTGGAAAGGCTCAGAAGCAACCACAGGCCCAGAAGGGCTATGTGCCCCCATGTGCACCCCATGCCCATGTTGCTGGCACCTGGTTTGGTGCTGGGCTGGCATCCCCCACCTGGCAGGACCCGTTTTCCACTGCCCTGCCTATCTAGCACCCTTGTTCCTTCCCCGTGAGCTCATCCCCAAACTGCTCCTTTGCTGGTTCGCACGGTCCCTAAAGCCAGGGGAGCACAAAGGTTTTCCAAGTCATTTATTTACAGTGTGCTGGGTGCTGTATGGATAGAGCAGGGTGGGCTGGTGCCCAGGCAATGCTTAGGAGGGCAAGGAAGCAGGGAAGCGGGGGCGCTGGGGGCCTGTGCCCCCACGGAGACGCAGGAGCAGGTAGATGATGCTCTTGCTCTGGATGCCGTAGTGCGCCAGCGTGTGCTGATCTTCCAGCTGCCTGGAGTCAAACATCAGCTGCTGCTGGTCTACATGAACACGCTGCTTTTCGTAGATCTTTTGCTTGAGTTGCCGGACGGTATCGGTGGGCCGCACGGTGTAGGGGGTGGTGCGGCTGTTCTCCTTCACCAGGACCTCCATGTCCTCGGTTTGCAACAGCATCAGCGTGGTGCTGCAGAAGAAGCCAGAGGCAGCCAGGGTTGCACTGTCCTGCAGGATGAGGGGAGCCCGGCCTGGTTCCTGCTGGCCCAGGCACTGCTGATATACAGGGATGTCCCACTCCTCGCTGATCCTTTTCTTCAGGTCCAGGATGGTGGTGTCCAGGCTGACGTTCATGGTCAGTCTGTGGCCTGTCAGACGCTTTATCTCCACTGTGATGGGTCGAGCCGGCTGTGGGGGAAGAGGGCAGGTAGGTGAGGTCGGCGGGGACGTGGTCTGGGGACTGCGACCTCCTCAGGTGTGGGCAGCCCTACCTGCACATTCCAGGGATGGGCAAAGGCGATGCAGGGCAGAGAACGGCAACGAGTAGCCTCCTTTGCCACTGCAGCCCAATCTGCGCGTTGACCCAGGATCCCTGTTGGGTCTGCGGGGTCCAGGATCACAGGGCTGTGAAGACAAGCACAGGCCCTGCTCTCAGTGCTGTTCCAGCGCAGGTGGAGGCCTGGACATTCAGCAGTTGTGCCCATGGCCCCTGCCCAGAGCCAGCCCCACTTGGGAGCAACACCTGGTCTGCAGTGCAGGCAGTGCCTGTGGTGCGGGTGGCACACAGGCAGTGCCTGCGGTGGGGGCTCTCACCGTGAGCTGTGCAGCAGCAGGTTCTTCACAAAGCTGCCCACATCAGGGTGCTGGAGAGAGTAGTACTTTTCCCAGTAGATGAGGATCTTCTGGTGCTGGCACAGCAGCTCCAGCACGGTGCGAAAGCCTTCAGCCATCCTGAAGTCCTCACTAGCCCCCGTGCCCTGCTCCCATGCATAGATGGTTAGCAGTTCCAGGGCGTACTTGGGGGGCAGGTTTGCCGAGAGGTTCCGTGGCTTGAGAACCTGGAAAGGAGATGGGAACGGGTGAGAGCTGGCAGGCACAGGCATCCCAGGGTGTGGGATGGATCCTGGGATGCCCGTGCCGGCGCAGCAAGGCTGGGCAGCCACTCACCTCCTTGTACCAGTACTTGACCAGGCGCAGCAGGTTCTTGAGCTTGGCAGGGCACCGCTTCACAAACAACTTCTGCAGTTCAGTGAAGCAGGGAGAGAACTCGCTGAGCTCCCCATGCGCAGCCAGGAGTCTCACGTACACGTTAGGATCTGGCACAGTGTCCTGAGTCACCTGCCCTGTGGGGGGAGAGAGCGCTGCAAGAGCTGTCCCGGCATGAACTGACCCCAGCCCCACATCTGCTGAGCGCAGAGTCCTACCCAAGGCGTCGTAGGCAGGCAGGACATCAACATCAACGGACTCTGAGTACGACGTGGACTGGAGGGTGAGGCTGAGGGAGCGCGCGGATGAGCCGTAGCGGCCCTTGCGCCGGAGATTGATGATCATCACAGAGAATGTCAGCGTATTTCTGCATTGTTTGAGCATCCTCTCAATATGGTTGAGGATTTCAGCTCGCCTCTGTTTCTGGTCCTGGTAGCTGGAGAAGCAGCTGAGGAAGACCACCACATCGGCATCGGAGTTGTTCTTCAGGGCCGTGCCCTTGCCTGTTGAGCCACCCTGCGGAAGGAGATGGCACCCGGTCAGCACTGCCACCCCCCGCGGCAAGGCAGTGGGGAAGGACCCTCGCTGCTCAAGAAAGCCACGAAGGGAAACTGAGGCAGAGCACAAGCTGAACGCGCGGGGCAAGGGGAAGGTGGCACTGGGTGCCAGGCTATGGAGAGAGCCCCGGGGACCATGAGGGGCTGGCAGGGCAGGGGTCACGGTGCCCAGAGGCACCGGGAAGCACTCACCTTGACTGTCTTGTGGACGCGAATGCTGTCAAAGCACTGCTCCTTGAGGAAATCGCAGATCTTCCTCACCGTCTCCTTCACCTGTCTGCTGAAAGCGGTGCTGGGCTCCAGGTTCCTGGCAATCCAGGCATCCAGCTCACGCTGGGACACTTTCTCCAGCCCATCCATGGCTGGCATTTGCCCCAGTGCCTTTCTCCTCCTGGTCCTCTGGTCGTCGCCCCGTCTCCGCAGCCCTCTCCCGCTTGCAGCTGCCTTTAAACCTTCCCAGGCTGCTGCCCCCTGCGTCACAGTGAGGAAGTTAAGGTGGCCCCGAGTTTCGTTTCTGGACCAGCCACGCTGAGCAGAGGAGCTGTGGGGCCCTCCCACCCCGGGCCCTGGTGCCAAGGGATCCCCCAGCACCAACACCAGCGCATCCTGGCAGGGGAACACAATGTGGGGCTGCATGTCTGGGGTTAGGTCCCCCCAAAAGGGGTGCCCCCAGCACTGCTCTGGCCGGACACCACCACGGGGATGGGATTGCATAGGAGAAGCAGGAGGTGGCCTCGGGGTGGGGGGGTTCTCTGGTGTCTGAGTGCCCCCTCCTTGTGCCCAGCTGTCAGGAAGGCCCTTGGCACCCCATGGGGCACCCTGAACCTGTGTCCAAGCTGGGGGCTCCTGTCCCTGGACCGAGTGCCAGGGCTGTGGCACGGCCAGCACCAGGCATGGTTGGCTCCGGTGTCACCAGAGGCGCTGGTGTCACTGGAGGTGCTGAGACATGGCTGGCTCCAATGGCACTGGAAATACCCGGGTCACCAAAGGCCATGGGACACAGCCAGCGCCTGGCACACTGAAGGCCACGGTGCCACCGCAGGCAGTGGGAGGACAGTCACCAGCCTCACTGCAACCCTGGGGATGGGCAGGCCCCGGTGCCGCCACGGGCTGGGGCCAGCTGCCCTGGGCACTCCTGCCCACGCTACCTTAAGCAGCGGCTCCGAAGAGCCAAGTTTCGATTCCCAGTTTTGCTTTCGGGATATCGAAACTTCCCTCCCCCCTGCTGGAAACGAAAGGGAAAAGGGGACCGGAGCGGCTCGGGCTGCGCCGGCCTGCGGGAGACGGGACTCTCGCCCCAAGGGCCGCAGGGCTGGGAGGCGCCCGGGGGTGACGCCGCGCCTGGTGCCCGTTGCAGAGCCCGGCCTGGCCCGGCGCTGCCTTCCCCGCCCGGGGCGCGGCGGGTGCCCGAGAGCGGGACC